CCTTGTACGTGAGCTTGCTCACGGCTGTCTGGCGTTTCAGAGCCATTTGACACGGCCTCGTGGCTTCTCGTGTCGCTGATGGCCATACAGGCGGCCGCTGCGGCCATCTTCGTCTTCGAGTGGCTCTCACCAATCGGATACGACATGAAGGTATGCAGCGGTGCTGGTGTCTGTCGTGGCCATTATGGTGGCGGTGTACCGGGGATGGTGTCCATGGTGGTGATGGTGCGCCGGTGGTGGCGTGCATGATGGCGATGGCGCACCGGTGATGGAACCATGATTGTGATGGTGCACCGGTGATGGTATTCATGATGGGATGGCGCTTCGCTGATGGTATCCATGATGGTGATGGTGCAATAATGATGGTATCCATGGTGGTGATGGTATCCATGATGGTGATGGTGCACTTGTGATGGTATCCATGATGGTGATGTTGCGCCGATGACAATATCCGTGATGGTGATGGGGTACCGGTAATGGTGTCCATCTCGGTGTGACGCGTAGTTCTGGTGTGTGGAATGATGGCTGGCGTCTTGGTGCGGAGGTGACGTGTCATCATGTGACAGTGACGGCTGTCGGATGAGTTTGGCCTCAATGACCCTGCACTGAGCTTCGAGCCGAGAAACATACGCCCCATCAAATCTCACACATTACCCGTTCCAAACCGCGGGCTATGGCTTTTGTTCAAAGCTCTTGGGACCTATAAGGACAGTATTGGAATTGCGATCTTGTTGGCTAAGTGAGCTGCACGCAGCGTTCATAATCTAATTGCCGTGCGTCGCCGGCGACAAGAGTAACTGCCGGGCCACGTAGTGGTAGCTGCTACCCGGACAGCTGGCTGACGCCTGACCCCTGACCCGACTCCAGCGTTATCCCCGCGCCGACGATGTCTGTCTCAGCGGCGTGCGGGGTGATAACGCTGGAGTCGGGTCAGGGGTCAGGCTGTCTCGGTGGCGTGCGGGGTGGTCTGCCTGCTGGTGTGTGACCCAGCCGGGGCGGGGTGGGCCTCCGCTGACCCGGGGTCACGGAAGAGGGTCGCGCGTGACGCCCGCGCCCCTGACGCCGTCATGGGGCGGATGAAGCGGCGATTGCGGTGCGATCCCAGGCGGGCCTGCGATGTCACGTTGTGGTGCTGGGCAGTGCTGGTCCTCCTCGTTTCGGCGCTGCAGGACGCCCTTTCGCTGGCTCGGCCGCTGCCGTGAGTCAGTCTGTCTCAGAACAACCACAACCACTGAACTTGTGTAAAAGTTACAATGATTAACCATAAGCCACCGAGCGACCCCTGCCGCTCGTTAAACTCTCGTCCTAGAATCCTGCCGTTTAATTGGAGTTTCACGACCAGGGAGTAGTGCAGGCTCACACAACAAGCTCTAATTAGCGTGGGCCTCGATAACACAAATCCATGCAATCAAAGTGTTAAAACTAAATTTATCTTAAGATCTGGGCAATTTAAGGTTTTAAGTTCAGTCGAGCGCCATTAAACTTTTGATAACTAGATCTTCCGGGTTGAAAGTGCTTGCCTTTACACTGACAGTACACCAGCAGCAGCTCCAGTCCCGTTCTGTAGCGTGTTCCTGTCCCGTTCTGTAGCGTGTTCCTGTCCCGTTCTGTAGCGTATTCCCGCACCGCGCCGTAACGTGCTCCTGGCCGCTCTGTAGCGTGCTCCTGCCCCGCTCTGTAGCGTGTTCCTGCCCCACTCTGTAATGTGCTCCTGCTCCGCTCTGTAGCGTGCTCCTGTCCCGCTCTGTGGTGTGCTCCTGCCGCGCTCTGTCATGTGCTCCTGCCCGCTCTGTAATGTGCTCCTGCTCCGCTCTGTAGTGTGCTCCTGCTCCGCTCTGTAGCGTGCTCCTGTCCCGCTCTGTAGCGTGCTCCTGCCCCGCTCTGTAGCGTGCTCCTGCCCCGCAATGTAATGTGCTCCTGCCCCGCTCTGTAGTGTGCTCCTGCCCCGCTCTGTGGCGTGCTCCTGCCCCGCACTGTAGTGTGCTCCTGTTCCGCTCTGTAGTGTGCTCCTGTTCCGCTCTGTAGCGTGCTCCTGCCCCGCTCTGTAGTGTGCTCCTGCTCCGCTCTGTAGCGTGCTCCTGCCCCGCTCTGTAGCGTGCTCCTGCCCTGCTCTGTAGTGTGCTCCTGCCCCGCTCTGTAGCGTGATCCTGCCCGCTCTGTAGCGTGCTCCTGCCCCGCTCTGTAGCGTGCTCCTGTTCCGCTCTGTAGCGTGCTCCTGCCCCGCTCTGTAGCGTGCTCCTGCCCCGCTCTGTAGCGTGCTCCTGTTCCGCTCTGTAGTGTGCTCCTGCCCCGCTCTGTAGTGTGCTCCTGCTCCGCTCTGTAGCGTGCTCCTGCCCCGCTCTGTAGCGTGCTCCTGTTCCGCTCTGTAGCGTGCTCCTGCCCCGCTCTGTAGCGTGCTCCTGTTCCGCTCTGTAGTGTGCTCCTGCTCCGCTCTGTAGTGTGCTCCTGCCCCGCTCTGTAGCGTGCTCCTGCCCCGCTCTGTAGCGTGCTCCTGCCCCGCTCTGTGCCGGTCACGTGCCGTTCAGCTAAGCGATATTCATCACGGCTCTCTCGCGTCTTGATGGGCCATTTGACTACCGCGATTGGCAAGCTACAGATGCCATCTGCTTCCATCTTCCAGGCTCGGACTAGTGCCCGGGCTGTGGAACGCTACGAGAACATGACAAACGTCCGGGTTTTAGCATGTTGGTGTGGTTTGACGACGAGAGATGGGAGCCACTGAATTTAGTATGTGCCTGGTTATTGCTACAGTCGATTAAGAGCCCGGGTGGAACCCAGGCATATGTGTAAGAATACCACAGGTGGCGGGAGGCAGTGATGACGTCACCATGTATGTCTGTCACCAGCTGGCATTTTACTTTGCTTGTGCGGTCTTGGCGTGCATATTGCCGGCAAAAATGGCTTGAATGTCTGGATACTTGCTGCAGCTAGTCCACTGGGCGTTGCTCTTCAGCCTCTTCATGAGTAATTTACCCGCTGGAGAGTGACTGTAAACACTTGACAAAGCCGGGGTTTTCATTCGCAAGGCTATCTATATAGTGCGTGAGGTTTGCCGACGGCCACAACAACCTCTCAAGCAAAATACTTGGGAAATAATTTAGTCGTCATTTGTCAGCCGCTCTTGAAGACATCTTCTGCGCCAATCACACTCACTCAAACTTGCTGCTCCTTTGTGGTCGGCGTTCGCCGTGTTCTCAAATAGTGAGTGACGTCAATGGTCGTTTTTCTGCTGATGACGCACGCAATTTCCGCTCTAATATTGTTAAACTGCTTACGAACCCCAATCTTGTTAGCCCGCAGGCTTCCAGCAAGGCGTGCTGCTTTGGAAGGTCTCATCAAACCCTAACGATCCAAATTTAAATAAGTGCCATCAAAAATAACTGCGGAATAAATTTGTGTCCAATCTACATTTTTATTGCAGTCGACGCTGCTAATGCTCCAGATTAGACGTGACTAAATATTGAAATAGGTCTGCGTTTCTCATACCATAGTGTTATAGCGGCAGGTGGTACCGGCCTGTGTGTCCTCAAGTGACTGCGATATTTTCCATAAGTACCGACTAGCAGGAGTATCGACTTGTGTATGCTCGCGTGGCTTCGATGTTTTCTATAAATCAGTGGCAGGAACCATGTTATGATAACGCCTTGCCAATCAGGCGCTATCAAAGCCTACCCCTTCCCAACAGCAGCCTTTTATGCAATGTGATGTCCCCAGTTATTGGCTAAATGGCGGCCATTTGAGAGAAATGGCTGGCATAGGCTGGTGTTAGTAGCATAAGCCGAGCTGGCAATGGGATACGGCTCCCTAGTTCATCCGTAATACAGGGTTGAGTTCAATATCAACTCTCCTGATCAAGCAACGCAGTTGACTGGCATCAATTGTTTCTGCTGTGCTATGTGTGGCGAGGCGCCTTTGCCGAGAATTATATTAGTTTCACACATATTGTGTTACTATTTATGTGCATTTTGTCGGCTAGCTGACGTATGTGAATTATTTGTGTGTTATTATTTATGTGTGGCATTATTCACGATGCTTTGGCTGAAAAAAAACACTGAAGCACTTGTTTTGGATAAATCGACGTTATTGGGTGTACGCTACTTGAAGTGTCTGGGCAAATACAATTGACCTTGCTCCGGCTCAATTGACGGGCGTGACCGTGACCTCGCCTGGCTCAGACGTATGACCTTGACCGGACAGATGGCGCCACCGTCCGACTACAAGTTCTCGCTGTTCCGGACGCTCTGGATGGTCTGGGCCATCCTGTTTCAGGCCGCTGTGGAGCTGGACGTGCCCCGAGGGTACACGGCCAGGTGAGCAGCGCGTTGGCTACCTTTGTTTGCTGGCATGCAAGAAATGTGATCAAACACCGGGCAGTGACGGCTTTGGAAGCGAGGCCGATCGTGGCTTGTGATTAAGATCCTTGCTTGTGACGGCTCATAGCTTCCGGTTAAGATCCTGGCCCCGTCAAGGGGCGTGCTTCAGCGGCCCGCGCTCGCTTCGGCATTTTACCCACGGAGCACCGACGCATCTGCGCGCATCGCGGAGCGTCATGACAAGATCTGCCGGCCGGCGCCGGCCCGCCCACAACCAAGCGTCACGCACCAGTCACGCACCGCTCGCGGGGCGCGAACGCGCGACGGCCGGGCAGCCGGCGCTCCGGCAACGGCGCCGCGCCGCCCTGTTGGTGCAGGTCGCAATCGAGTCTCGCGCTCACCGGTGCCGGGCGGTGACGGGCCGCGCCGCCCTGTTGGTGCAGGTCGCAATCGAGTCTCGCGCTCACCGGTGCCGGGCGGTGACGGGCCGCGCCGCGCCGATGCGATCAGCGCCGGCGCTGATTGGATGGGACGCTGAGAGAGCGTGACTGGATTGCGTCGCGCTTCGGCGCCACGCGCGGCGTCTCTGCGCGATTGCGTAGCCGCTGCGGAGCCATGCGGCCGCGGGGTGTGGCGATGGCGTGAGAGGAGAGGTAAGCCACGACGCTCTTGCGCATCGATCGGTCCTCCTCTCTGCCATGTCATCAACGGCTCCATCTTCACCTGTGTGTCAATCATGGTCTAGAACAAAGTTCTCGTCGCGCTGCTTCACGAAGTCGGCGGGAGATGCGATGCGAACGATTTGCGGCCGGCTCCGTCCTGCCCGTGTTGCCGAAAACGCCGAGAAAGTCGTTTCCCTGTTGCCCATGTCTCACCTTTTTTACAAAAACATACCGTCTTCAGTGTAATAGACCTGTCAACGTCGTCGCTCCACGGAGGCCGCCTTGATCGCCTCCGTCGGATGGTTGTCAAAAGCTTAAGGTCGTATCATATCGTCGACGACACTTGATTTAAGTGAAGTGTTCACGACGTCGGTCATGGCGCCCTTCCGGACATGCTAAAAATGTTATGATATCTACTCGGATTGGCTACAGAGCTCTTTAGCAGACCTGAAGCAGATTTTGTGTGGTGGTTCCTTGGCCCTCCTGCCGACTTACAGGTTGCTCAGGGCACATGGTTGGGCCGTTCCCCTTCTTTCCCTTCATCAACGGTCTTTTCCCCTTCTTCCCCTTCTTTCTTCTCGGACAGTGTCTTTCCCATGCCGGTGACAATGGGTTCTTGTAACAGTCTCCGTCTGATGCCATTGAGGCTGTCGTCCTAAAAAAGCTCCTACTGATAGATCTATCTGCTGAGGGATTTAGCATCCAATTCCCAAATTCGTTCAAAGACAACGGATTTGAAATGAATCGGCATCAAACGATCTTCACCAGCATTGAAGAAGAACCAAGATCTCTAAAAATCCATCCGTTTTTCATATCACTTCGTCAGGTTTCCTCATCTTACCGTGTTGGTCCGCGAAGGCCCTGGGTTAAGTCCTGGGCTAGTCGTTGACCGGGCAGTCCCGCTCGTCTATGGCAGGCCATAAACGTAACGCCATCCTCTTCTCTCTCCATAATTTTGCGATCATTTCATGCCAAATTTGTACAAGTTTTGCCCTGAGATTAGTCATCACGTTGAGATCATGTGAGCGCAAGACGCCAGTCGTTGTTTAGATAGAATGGCATAGGATGAATGGCGTGGTGCGCCGATGAGACTACCTTCAAGTGTTCGGACCCTCCATGATCACGAATGCCCAGTGGACAGTCCAGTAGACGCCAGGTGGACAGCGCCCACCTGACGTCAAAGCCCTCTTAGACGTCCGTCATAGATGCTGGTGTGTATCTCAGAAAGAAACTACGCATCACGCTGCTGAAAAGCTGCAGCTGGCAGGTCTTGTCGCTCGAACACGCAGCAGCCCTTGTCCTATCGCACCGCGGCATCAGAAACAGGCTGCCGGCCGCCATCACCCGGGTGCCCAGCCGTAGGACTTTCTCACGTCCCGCGGATCAGCGAGGATATTAACAATCGGATGTACTAACTGGAAATCATTTGTTGTGCATCCGTGTCGCGCCAAACGCCGCAAAATATCCAATCTTTTCACTGGTGTTTCGATGTCGCATGGCAGCGTGTCATCAAACTGACTGGGTCAAGAACACGGACTGAGTGGACCGATCTTTCATAGACGATCTTGACCTCGGGGCTTGACGGCCTCGTCAGCATGTGAATACACACATCGAGGATGAAAAGTTTACCGCTTACGTTACTTGGAGCTTTCACTGCCGAAATCATCCGCATTGCGTGCTACCCGTATCAATAGGTTCGTCGACCAAATCCGATGAGGGATCTGCTGTTGCTTTTGAACTAGTTGCAGGTCCATTACTGACATCAGTGAGAACGCTCTCATTTTCAGAAATATTTCGTGATCATATCCTGTTTGACAATGGACGCCATCTTGCCGCAGGTTCATGGCCAACGTCTGGGCGCTGTTTGCGCTTATCTTCCTCGCCATCTACACCGCCAACTTAGCAGCGTTCATGATCACGCGCGAGGAGTACTACAACCTCGACGGCATCGACGACGAACGGGTCAGTAGCAGGCACGGGCTGGACACAGTTCGCTGTACAAGTGAAGTGGTTGAAAACGGAAAGCTCTCTTTTCCCCTCCTTTCCCATAGGGGCGGATACAGAGGGGGCGTAAGGGGCATGTGCCCCCACCTTTGATCGCGAAGAAGAGGCGCTCTGAGCTGTGGCGGAACTTAGCGCCATCGTGACGAAAAACGGGCGCCCTGTAGTTATGAATAGGTGCACCTTTGATCTGAAAACGCCAATGCGACGCGGTACAGACGAGGTGCGGTCTCCTCTGCAAGTTGTTGAAACTGTGGTTATTATTAAATGTAGGTAATATTTCTGTCATTATGATGATATTAAAAGTTCCTTGCGTTGTTGAAATATCTTGCGAGGAAAACTGGCGTTCAGCAGGATTAAGGTGTCGTCTCGGCGATCTTGAGCAGGGTTGTTGATAAAAACTTGCTCCTCGTAATATGCGCCCCTTGCCGAAAGCTAGGGATAAAATTTGATCATATTTAGGCGCAGCGTTCATAAGATGACGCCCGTGTACACCGATCGTCATCGGAGACAGAACCGATGCATTGGCGCGCGGAGGGTCTTCTTTCCATAAACGATAATCATGTGGCATCGAGCATATTTCGCTACGAGAATTGCCGCTCTTTTGTAAAGTGGCGCACTCGCGAGCGTCAGCGGGTTTGTCAACGCCAAAATGTGTTAATCAGCAGGCACAAGGCGTCCGACTGACGTGGAAAGCAGGCAAACATCTGTGGTGAAAGCGATCACTCTTCCCATAAAGAGCGTTCATATAAATTGAAATAGCACTGACGAACGACTGTTTTGGATGAGCGTCGTCTTCGGAAAAGGAACCCCTGTAAAATGTTTACGTGATTATACGCTGAAAATGGGCACTTGCTTCTCTCGCCGCTTCTGGGTTTGGGTATTCATTTGTTGTTTGTAATGCCGGAGGATATAATCTCCCGACTCATGACATAGCAGTAGACGGTGGAAGATAGGAAGGATGGAAAGGCAATTGACAGTGTTAGTGCACCCAACACGGGACTCCGAAGGAAACCTAATAAAAAGATACGCGTTTGTGAAGACTGACTGTTTTGTAGTGGCAAAATGAGTTCTATTCTCGTTTATTTATAACCGGTGACGCTGTTTAATTGAGCATTATCAAAACATCTGGAGGATTAAAAAACACGCATCATTTGGTTACTGCTAAGTTTATATGGAAGCAGCTGACGAGTTCTGCCTTTAGAAAAAAACGAACGATTTTTTCCCAGGAATGGCCAAACATGTCCTCACAAACCAAACGCCCCCTCCCTCCACAACAGTCCATGAAAAATATCCCCCGATCGAAAAACCCGAATCCGCTTCTGCCCACCCCGATGATTGGTGGCAAGATCCCCTCGCTTGAGCACGGCCCACGTTAAATAAACATTCAGGTCCAGCTGTGTCATTAACCTAACCTCACACTCTTGCGTTTAGAACCACGACGTCTCAACGAACTCGCTCTACGACGATAACGGCTGTGGCTTATGGGAAAAGATTATGATTGAATTTTTTCAGCCGCATCGACTGCCAGGGGTCATGCAGCACCCATAGGTGTTTATGGTTTGGGCGTGCTCGAGTACGTGTGATTGGGAATAACAAGATTAGACGTGTCCAGTGCAGGATCGAGGGCGTGCCTCCGTTTCAATCGTCCACTGAGGCATCAATCCCGGTCGCTTACCAACGCTTATAACTGCTCGAGCAGAAGGCAGAAGCTACCTGTCTACTTGCGGATCTGCAGATACAACCCCGCACAGACTCCAGGGTCACGGCCCAGAGATATCAGTGCCAATCATGAGGCCACCATCACATGTTTGGCTCGGCACCTCCTTGGCGCTCACATTCCCGGCGCTGCCCCTCCCTCCCCCCCCCCCCCCCCCCGAACGATCGACGAGTCCTGACTGCGCTGTCTCCTCATCGGCCCGCAAAAACCAGCTGTCGTCGGCCGGAGCTCTCGGCGTGCGGGGCACGTGCCTCACCCGCGTCTGTCTCGCGGCGTCGTCAACGGTTCACTGCCCGGCAGAGGCAGAACTTTTTGCGGGTCGGGAGGGGTCACCGCGTCGTCGCCGTGAAGCCGCGCGCAGGCTGCATGTCTGAGTCGAACATTGCCCGACTCAGACTTCAGGCGCAGTTCTACTGTACTCCCAAGACCATGAGAGGCGCTGCCCAGGGTTCAAAGGTGTGGGAAACAGCAGTCGCCAGCGCACCACATTCAGTTAAGGCCGCGGTTCACTGGTGATCCTCGTCGAGAGGCGCCGACGGTGACGATAACCCGACCAAAGCCCCGGCCAAACTTTAAAGGTCTCTCATTATCACTCCAAGTTTACGCCCGAGAGCAGACTAAGCGGGTGGCGAACCTCTGATCGTATTTGACACATGATTTGCACGCTGCCGTCGCACGTGTGGATGTCCAGGCGTGTCATGTCGCTAATGTATGACAAATGTCTGCGCCCATTTATCTATTTTTCGATGCATTTGTCACCAACACAGTGCTGGCGTGTGTCTGTGCAATGCTCCAGCAACGAAGTAAACGCGGTAATGAGCCGTTCAGAATCTACAGCAGCAAAACAATTTTTGGCGCCAGATTAGTCTGCGCACTGACGTTGACACTGACCCAAGCACACAACGGCCATGGCAGCGCTATTAAAAGTACATAAAGCTCTCATCAATCACGCGCCGCTAAGCGCCTTCCGTCTCGTCGCGTCCCATTTCTTACCCCCCCCCCCCCCCCCCCTGGTGCGTCGCCAGCTGCGGGACCCGCGCTGGAAGGACCCCCACTTCCGGTTCGGCACCGTACTGCACGGCAACACGGATGCCCTCCTCAAGCAGAACTTCCCAGAGATGCACCATTACATGCTCAAGTTCAACAAGAGCAGCGTCGTGGAGGGCATCAAGGCAGTGAAGCGCGGGTGAGACTAGGTGTCCTCGATTATGCTGATGCTTGTGCTGCTGCTGACGCTTACATGCTTATGATGACGTGATATGATGATGCTTATATGCTGATGCTTATATGCCAATGCTTACGTGCTGATGCTAGTATGGTGATGTCGATGTCGATGCTGATGTTGATGATGCTGACGCTGATGCCGATGCTGATGATGTTCATAGTGATAATGATTATGGCGGTAGTGGTGGTGATGTGGGTCGTAGTGATGGAAGCTGAATGTTGTAATTGGTATTGGCATAGAAGGTAAAGGGTTGGTGGTGATGCTGATGCTGATGCGTGAAGAGTTGTGACGTACTATCCTGACACACACAGCATATTCAATTTTTTCCTTCGGTTTTCCTTGACAGTGTGACAGTTATTTCTTCAAAGAGCTTGCCTTAACACGGCTCTAGAGGGAAACAAGTACCCTCTGATGGTAGTTTTCATTACGGCAGTGTTCTATCCCCTAATGGTACCGTTGGGGGCAAAGCGCAAAGTTATCGATAATTCAGGTGAATGGAATTTATTGCCGATTAAAAACAAACTTTGTTGAGAGTAGGAGTGCCTTCTCACGTTGGGAGAAACGAGGTTAGACACCTTGTTTTGCATACCCAATCCCTTCCCCAACTTTTGCTCTGACGCCTACCATGACGGTGGATAACACGCCTCCGCGTGCGTGTGCTGCAGTGAACTGGACGCCTTCATTTATGACTCCACCGTGCTGGAATACCACAGCGGGCAGGACGACGAGTGTCGCCTGCTGACGGTCGGGCAGTGGTACGCCATGACAGGTCAGTGGTAGGCCATGACAGGCCAGTGGTGTGTCATGACAGGTCAGTGGTAAGCCATGGCAGGCCAGTGGTACGCCATGACAGGTCAGTGGTATGTCATGAGAGGTCAGTGACACGCCATGGCAGGTCAGTGGTATGTCATGACAGGTCAGTGGTAGACCTGGCAGGCCAGCGGTACGCCATGACAGGTCAGCGACACACCGTGGCAGGTCAGTGGTATGTCGTGGCAGGTCAGTGCTAAACCATGGAAGGCCAGCGGTACGCCATAACAGGTCAGTGGTACACCATAGCAGGTCAGTGGTACGCCATGACATGTCAGTGGTACACCATGGCAGGTCAGTGGTACGCCATGACAGGTCAGTGGTACACCATGGCAGGTCAGTGGTATGTCGTGACAGGTCGAGTTACAGCCTGGAATGAAGGCACCATTTAGGCGTCTGCTGAAGGCCATCGTCGATCACAAAATAGCTTCAACTTCTGTTATGTATTATGCACATTCAGTTTCGTTTGATTAAGAATCATTCCACGGTGCGGTTGTCGGAAAATCTCAGCCATGTACAAAGGGAGAGGTAAAATACAAAGCGAAGCACTATGCACCATGTGGACATACACAAGAATTTAAAGATTGTTAAATTTGTGAAACGCATATACTCAGCCGTCACAAGCAGGTCATATGAGATTTCTGCAGGGTGGCGGACCGTATCCGGGCTGGAAGCAGGCCCTATTGCGATAAGGCCCGCGCGGTGTGAGAACACACGCCCCGTGGAGCGAGAACGGAAAGCCAGAGGCTCCAACACACCCGCCGCCGACGCGCGAGCGGCACGCTTGGAGTCATTATGCCGGGATACCGGGTAAACAGGGCTCAGGTCGCTCGGGGTGCCGCGGGTGGATTAGAGGCATGTAGGTGCCGATGCTGTCCCGGAAGGTGACCAGAGCCTGCATTCGGCGGTATCCGAACTCCTCTACGGTCGAGGTGACGCGGTCGTGATGAGGAGCCCCCTGGCCCCAGAGCTGATGGCCTTCTGCAGCGGGTCGAGAGCTGAGGGCCTTCTGCAGCCGGTCGAGGTGGTACGCCTCGGCCCCATCCCAAACAGAGGGACAGCGTAGGAACATGTAGAAACGCGCGATGTTGGACAAGGAGCTTGTGGACGTCCAGGGCCAAATGGTGCCGAATTTGATATGATCACAGAAGAACGAAGTTTTGCTGCTCTTTCTTATGATATCCAGCATATTCACAAGAGATGAAGGAAATACTGTGCAAGTTTAGGCGAAAAGATGCGAAAAATTTAGATACAATCGGGTGTGGTAATAAGGAGGAGGGTTTTCGGAGTGCGTTGATTTTGAGAGTTGGCTGTCAAAACGGCATTAACAGTGAGCAAGATTCCTTCTTGCCTATTTAAGACTAGCTGGCTGGTTGGATTTTTCGAAGTGCAGACAAGGAGTGCCCTACGCACAATATACTAAACGACATGCGGAAGGTAGGCGGGAAGTTCGTTGGCGAAAACGTTAAATATAATAGGTCCGACGAAATTTCATTGCGAAATTCCATTCGGTGTGGAGAGAGAGAGAGAGAGAGAGAGAGGAGAGAGAGAGGAGAGAGAGAGAGAGAGAGAGAGAGGAGAAGAGAGAGAGGATAGAGGAGGATGAGATAGAGAGAGAGAGAGAGAGAGAGGAGAGGAAGAGAGAGAAGAGAGAGAGAGGAGAGAGAGAAGAGAGAGAGAAAGAGAGAGAGGAAGAGAGAGAGAGAGAGGAGAGAGAGAGAGAGAGAGAGAGAAGGAGAGAGAGAGAGAGAGAGAGAGAAGAGAGAGGAGAGAGAGAGGAGAGAGAGAGGAGGAGGAGAGAGAATAGAGGAGAGGAAGAGAGAGAGAGAAGAGAAGAGAGAGAGCGAGAGAGAGAGAGAGAGAGAGAGAGAGATGAGAAGAGAGAGAGAGAGAGAGAGAGAGAGAGAGAGAGAGAGAGGAGGAAGGAGGTCCGTCTCTCACCGCCTGCCTCCATTGGTAAGACTCAGCTCCACGACTACAAGCAGTGATCCTCACTCAGTCCGCGCTGCATCCTCGTGCGTGAACTCGCGCCGTCAGCAATCAGCAAACTGCTTAGTTGCTTAGTTGCAGTACATAACTGATACAACATAGCTTATTCCTTTATAAAATATATGTTTCATGGATTAAACTGCATGGTCCTCAATAATTTGTGCATTCAAAGAGCTGCAACACATTCTCTACTCACCGGTGGAAAACCAGTTGGATTACATCGCTTTTCAGTACCCGAACCTTGGACTAACGTCACTAGTACATAGGCTTGATGCTCATGCCTGGTATGCCTAGTTATAGACGAGTAACGATCTTCGAGTAAACCTGGTAAATAGTTTTGTCAGGTGTGACCTAGTTCGACACTCTGTGAGAAGCCAGTCTCACAGTTAGGTGTTTCGTATTGGCAGAATTTTAAGGGTGCCACCCTTACCTGTTCAACGTCAGTTTCTATCTATCCTTATACTGAAGCCATGAACAGTGTTCTCTGCTACGGGAAGACGTGCATGAAACCTCAGCGCAATACGTTTCTGTCCAAACACCCAAGTGAATAGAATAGGGATGTTTCGATGTCGGTAAATTATGCATGTTGTGGCTTCGATTTCTTAGACGCGTGATGTTTTTCGCCGCTGAGAAATATGTAATGTGATCTGGCCCCATTCCAGCAACACATTGAGTGGACACCACTGAGTCATTCTGGAAAAAACGAGTGGTGTGGTCTAGTGCATTACACCAATGGCACGAGCACAAATGGCGGAGTGTGCTCACTCACCAAGCGCATCACAAAGATAAAGGTTTTGCATAAGATTTAGTATGATGACGGCCTGGAAGCCATTTTAGAAATTGACGTTACCGAGGTGGTAACTCAGGGGTAACCGTAGGGGAGACCTCATGGTTGGTAACCTGTGTTGCCTGAACGCCGACGGTATTGATACTATGACTTAACTAATAAGTTGTAGAGTGATAGAAGAACTTGACGGAACTACGCTTCCGTTGGAAAGCAGAAATGCAGGGGGAGCTTTGACTGGTTAGGAAATGAGATAGGATTGGCTGGGAACAGCGTGTTTGTTGTGGGGAGCCTAGCCAGGCAGCAGACGCCAGCGCTGGCGGATGGGCTTTGCAATTTACCCACAGATGAAAGCAGCGTTTAGCATTGGGTGCGATGGGACGTTGTTTGCTGAGGTCTGTTTGAACAAACGCTCCTCGGCAGGGTCGGGTCATTGTTGGTCGGCTGGATGGCTGACGGTTTCGCAGAATTCTCGTGAACATGTCAGGGCACGGGCGCAGGCAGAGCAGGGGGGGTGAGCACTTTCACAAATTGGTGACTTGTTAAGTCCTCGAAGCCACGAGCCAACAGCATACGCTTTTGCAGCGACCAATGCGACGAAGACAATAGGGCGCTGAAAAACAAATACAAATAAATTAATGAAATACAAAACAAATGCATTAATGCTGTGCGATTTCAATCAAAAAATATTACGTAACATTGTCTTGCTATAGCGCTATCACCTATCACAATGCATGAACAGATTGACAAAAACCTGCAGATGTGGATTATATCACAAGAGTCTTCGACATTAACAATTTCCTTCGATGAACAAAAGCTAGCGTGGATTAAAATCCAGTATCCAACATTGAGACGGAAGAAAGACCGATGCAGTTATTTAGCCGGTTGCATGCAGGGAGGTTGGATTGAGGACAGCTGCCAGGCTGCTCTACGCTGTTGAACGCTCATTGCGTTCATGCTGAACCCACTGACAAAAGCGTTGTTCCAGTTTATCCGATGATATTTTTACAGCCAGATAACACCGCGGAGGATATACGTACATTACAGCGTTACGAAATCGTCGTCATCGGCCAATTTCACTTCCTATGACCAATTACCAGCTGAACATTCCGGATCGATGAGGCCGAAGAGTGTGCCTGTGCTGGGAATCGAACCCGGCCCCACTGGTGACGCCCCGCGTTATTCCCGCAGACCGCGGGCGCGGCACGCACTGGCGAGTGCGCATGCGTGGTCCGTCAGATGGTTGCATGCATTGTTGCAAGCTCACATGCCTGTTGCACAGCCGCCACGCGGTCGGTTGTGGCCTGGGAACTTCCAACGGACTTACACCCAACTTCTGATGGCCCTTACATGTCGGACCTCATTAAGCCCACCTCTAATGCTGCCGCTCATCACTGACATGTGGTACGTTGTTAAGAACATCTGCAACTCGAACAGCTGCGCTTGAGACATCTGCCAGGATAATGGTCAAATGGCCAAATCGTTTTAGCTGGAGCGATGACATCAGGTGACTTTCCCACCGATGTGGCGCTCCGGACCATCGATGTGCGCCCCAGGCCACTGATGTGACGCTCCGGGCCATCGATGTGATGCTCCGGGTCATCGATGTGACGCTCCGGACCATCGATGTGACGCCCTGGGCCATCGATGTGACGCTCTGGACCATTGATGGGCCATCGATGTGATGCTCCGGGTCATCGATGTGACGCTCCGGACCATCGATGTGACGCCCTGGGCCATCGATGGGACGCCCTGGACCATTGATGGGCCATCGATGGGACGCTCCGAGCCATCGATGGGACGCTCCGGGCCATTGATGTGCCGCTCCGGACCATCGATGTGACGCTACGGGACATCGATGTGACGCTCTGGACCACTGATGGACCATCGATGTGACGCTCCGGGCCATCGATGTGACGCTCCGGGTCATCGATTTGACGCCCTGTGCCATCGATGTGACGCTCCGGGCCATCGATGTGACGATCTGGACCATTGATGGACCATCGATGTGACGCTCCGGCCAAGCGAATCGCGTTGTTGGTCAACGCGTTGGAACTGGATTCGTGCGTCCACCTGCTCTGGCTGCCAAGATATGGTATAAAACGCGAAAAATGTCCAACCGGGTAAATTCATCTTAACCGCTTGTTTGCATGTGATACGGGAAACGTGCGTCCGGACATCTGGCA